CTATAGAGCTATAGTAATAAAAAAACCAGTTCAGTATTGGCATAAAAACAGTCAAGTGGATCAATGGAATTGAATCAAAGACCCTGACATAAACCCACACACCTATGAACACCTGATGTTTGCCAAAAGAATTTTCAACAGATGTTGCTGACATAACTGGATGGCGGCAGGTAGAAGAATGCAAATAGATCCATATCTATTGCCCTGCACAAAACTCAAGTCCAAGTGGATTAAATCCTCAACATAAGTCCAGTTACACTGAACCTGATAGAAAAGAAAGTAGGAAAGAACCTTTAACACATTGCCACAGGAGACAACTTTCTTAATATAACACCAGTAGCACAGACACTGAGATTGACATTAAATGGGACCTCCTGAAACAGAAAAGCTTCTGTAAGGTAAAAGACACTGTCAGTAGATAAAATGGCAGCCTACAGAATGGGGAAAGACTTTGACCAACCAGAGAACTGATACCCAAAATATAAAAAGAACTCAAGAATGTAGACCTCAAAATACCAAATAATCCCATTTAAAAATGGGGTATAGACTTAAAACAGAGAATTCTCAACAGAAGAATCTTGAATGGCCGAAAAGTGTTCAACATCCTTAGCTATCAGGGAAAGGCAAATCAAAATGACTCTTGAGATACCATCTTACACTTGTCAAAATGGCCAAGATAAAAAGTGCTAATCACAACCTATGTTGAAGAGGATGTGGAGTAAGGGAAACACTCCTCCGCTGCTAATGGAAGTGCACACTTGTACAGCCATTTTGAAAATCAGTTTGGCGGTTTCTACAAAAATTGAGAATCAATCTACCTCAAGACCCAACTGTTGAGGAATATTGTTTTAAGGCATGTTACTTTTTTATGCTCTGAAACATTTGTTTGATGATGCAAAGATATGTTTGATTATATAAAATTCATCTGTAGTCCAGAGACTGAGTCACCAACTAGCTGACAGGAAATTGTAGGTGGGAGTCTTGTAGAGAAGGGTTTATAAGGAGGGGCGGGAAAAAGCACAAGGACTTCTCAGGAGACGCAGGGAGGTAAGCTGGGTGAGCTACTATTCAGAGCTATTTAGCCTCTCTGGGAAGGAGGATTCTACTTCAACCTTTGACTCTTGAGTTCTTTAGCAGGACAGAGATTTAGATACGTTTTCTTAGTAGCTTTGGAAGAGTTGGTACCTGCGGGAACAGAATTTCCTCAGGCTGCGGCTCATGCAATCAAGCTGCTGCTTATAGCGCAGAGTTGCAGTTGCTGACTAGGATATCCATAGAGTAAAAGGCAGCAACCATTAAGAAAGAGGACAACACCCAGCGATACCGCTTTTGGGCATATACCCAAAGGATGTTCAACCATGCTACAAGGACACTTGCTCAACTGAGTTCAAAGCAGCACTATTTGTAATAGCCAGAACCTGGAAAGAACCTAGATAGATGCCCCTCAACCAAAGAATAGATGAAGAAAATGTAGTATAGCTACACAATTATGAAGCAGAAAAACAATGACATCGTGAAATTTGCAGGCAAGTGGATGAGGAACTAAGTGAGGAACCCAGACCCAGAAAGACAAACATGGTATGTACTCACTCATATGTGGATATTAAATGTAAAGCCAAGGTAATCAGCCTACAATCTTCAGCCCCAGAGAAGCTCAGTAGCAAGGAGGACCCTAAAAGGTACTCATGGATCACCCTGGGAAGGGGAAATAGATGAGGTGTCCTGAGTAAACTGGAGTCTGGGGGGAGTAGAGGGAAGGGGATGGGAACATGAGGGAAAGGGATGGTTGAGTTGAGGAGGGTGAGAGTAATAAAAGAGATACTTTGATGGGGGGGGCATTATAGGGTTAGGGAGAAACCTGGCTCCAGGGAAACTCGCTGGAATCCACAAGGATGCCCCCAGCTAAGACTCCTAGCAGTAGTGGAGAGGGGGCCTGACCTGGCCTTACCTGTAAACAGACTGCTGACTACCCTGATTGTCATCACGGAGCCTTCATCCAGCACCTGGGCCCAGCTCTAGGTGGAGAGGATGGGGGGGGTTGATTATGTGAGCAAGGCGGGGGCGGGAATGGGGGTCAAGATCATGACTGGGAAACCCACAGAGACAACTGACCTGAGCTTGTGAGAACTCATGGAGTCTGAATGGATTTCTAGGAAGCCAGTATAGGACCGACTTACACCCTCTGCATCTAGGTGACAGATGTGTAGCTTGGTCTTTAGTTGGACCCCTAGCAGTGGGACCAGGACCTGTCCCTGATGCATGAGCTGACCCTTTGGAACCTGTTCCCTCTGGTGTTGATGCCTTGCTCAGGCTTGACGCAGGGAGGAGGAACTTGGTCCTGCCTCAACATGATATGCCATGCTTTGTTGATTCCCATGGGAGGCCTGACCCCATCTGAGAGGAGATGGAGGAGGAGTGGATGGGGAGGGGAGGAGTGGGAGGAGAGGAGGGAAGAGGAACTCTGGTTGGTATGTAAAATAAATTTAAAAAATGATGAATTAAAAAAATTATGGCATGGAAGAATAATAATAATAAACTTTAAATACTTCAAAATGATCAGGTATAGTGTATTGTGAACTGAGTTACACCATCTTAATCTTGAATTTATTTAGTGTCATGTGAGTATATTCCAAAAAGTATATTCTAAAAACTGTAAGAAGTAGCTTGCCCCCCCCCGACTCAATGTATACAACGTATTTATAGGGCTTAACTATGTGTATAAGAACAGAGTTGGTGAGGCTGTCTACTTACAGTGAGTTAGGAACAAATAATCTAAAAATCTTAAGAGGGTGGGCATTATGATACATGGCTTTAGAACTAGTACTTGGAAGGTGAAGGCTGGGGGATTGTGTCTGGCCAGACTCAGTTGTTTGGTTGTTTGTTTTTATAGACAAATAAAAATTAGAAGTCTGAGATAGTGGAAAAGCTCCTAAGAGTTCCAGGGGAAATAAAAGTCTATACCATGAACACTGAACTACCCCATAAGAGGAATTTGCATTAAACTAACGAGTATTACAAGTAGATTTCTTTTTATTTCCTTTTTTTTTTTTTAACTACAAAGTGAGTGTAAGGAAGACTCTTCAAAATGTATGTTTTATAGGACACGCGTTTATTTTTAAGCATTGAGCACTGGGTGATAAAAGGCAAGGGCATGCCAAGAACATTTTGCCTTTCTGAGAAATGCCAGGGTCGGGTCTGATGTGAGGTTGCATGAGTAGATGAAGAAAGCAAGAAGCCATAGAGATTTGCTCAAAAAAGCCAGAGTGGTAGCTGTGCATTAACGACTTCGTGTTTTTAACATTTCTCTATTTACTCTACATACAGTGTTCTGTCTGCATGTATGTCCATAGGCCAGAAGAGCGCACCAGAACTCATTACAGATGGTTGTGAGCCACCATACGGTTGCTGGGAATTGAACTCAGGACCTCTGGAAGAACAGTCAATGCTGTTAACCCCTGAGCCGTCTCTCCAGCCCTCATTAAAGACTTTAACATAAGCACAGTAAATATGCTTGGGGGGCTGGCAAGATGGCTCAGGCTCTTGCTGCCAAGCCCAACAACCTGAGTGTGATCCCTAGTCCCTACATGATGGAAGGAGAGAAGTAACTCCTCTTAACTTCCACATACATACTGTGGCACATGTACATGCCTATGCGTGAACATATATACATACATGAAGAAACGTTGTTTAGCTTGTGTCTTGGTTAGGGTTTGTATTGCTGTGAAGAGACACTGTGACCATAGCAACTTATAAAGGAAAGCATTTAATTGGGGCTAGCTTACAGTTTCAGAGGTTTAGTACATTATTGTCATGGTGGGAAGCTTGACAGTGTGCAGGTAGATGTGGTACTGGAGAAGGAACTGGGAGAGCTACATCTTGACCTACAGGCAACTGGAATAAACTGTGACATTGGATGTAGCTTGAGCACAGGAGACCTTAAAGCTCACCCTCACAGTGACACACTTACCTAACAAGGTCACACTTCCTAGTAGTACCACTCCCTATGGGGGCCATTTTCTTTCACACCACCACAGCTTCTTAAAATTAATCCTTAATGAATTAATTATAGGAGGATCATAATTTTACTTCATCAGACTGTTGTATTTTCTAATGAAAGGTGGCCCTTAGGTGACTGTTTCTCTGATACAGAATGATCCGGTCTGAATTTAAGCAGTTGGGAGTATGACCGCTGGAAAGTTACCAGTAAGACAGTAACTGTATTTTCATCTACTTGTTATATAGAAAATGTCAAGAGGTATCTCCAGGTGAAGGTTACTGTGTCATGGTTATTGTCTTCATTGATTGAAGGTTAGATTAATTATCAATTAATTACAATTCCTATTGGTTTTGTTCAGGTGTTGAAAAGTTTCCTGTAGATGATTGAGGGAAATAACTGCATTCTCAACCTTGTTTTGTAGCTAGAACATGAAAATGCCCAGCTAAGAAATATAAATGTCTCCTTGTCTGAAGCCCTTCACGCACAGTCGTTGACAAACATGATCCTGGATGATGAAGGCGTCTTGGGCAGCATTGAGAATTCTTTCCAGAAGTTTCATGCTTTCCTGGACCTCCTCAAAGATGCTGGGTATATCTGTAGGGTGGGCATTCTTTCTTCAGTGGTTTTAATGGTAGCTTGCTAAGAACTCGACACTTCTTAGCTTCCATGACACATGTTACTATGTGACTATCAACAATATGTTTGATTTGTTTTTTAATGGAGAATTCATTTTAAAAGAAATACAAAGTGCTAAACTTTCTCATTAGAAATCGATCATAAAAAGGTATTAAAGAGTAATTGGTCTTAATGAAGACTAAATTAATGTCATTGGGCATATGAATTCTTTAATTTTGTCTGCTATAAATATACCCTGGATATAAATATGGTAAAAAAAAAGACTAAGTTAAAGATAATTTTTATTGAAAATATTTAGAATATATAAATGTCTTGCCTTTTATTCATTTTGCTTGTTAAGTAAGCTTGAGTCAAGTTGGGTTTTTTTCTTAAGATTTATTTATTACGTGTACGGTGTTTTATTGGCACATATGCCTGAAGGCCAGTAGAGGGCACCAGGTCTTATTATAGATGGTCATGAGCCACGTGGTTGCTGAGAATTGAACTTAGGACCTCTGGAAGAGCAGCCAGTACTCCTAACCTCTGAGCCATCTCTCTAGCCTGAGTCAAGTTGTTCTTGTCCCTAGGCTTTGGGATGGTAGTTAATTTCCAGGGGTGCTGTAGACACAGGAGCGGGTCGGTGTTCTCATCTGAGAGTAGGGGGTCAAAGGAAGATGGCAGTCAGGCACCTGTGTGTGGAGGAAGGAGGATCAAGAGTTCAGAGTAACCTTAACTGCATGAACATTTGAGTCCAGCTGGGCTTTTTGAGTCTCAAAAATCAAATCAGAAAGAAAGAGCGGAAGATAGTTGATGGAGCGGTGTTTTAGGGGGATCGGCCAGGGCCAGAAAGAGGGTCACATACACGGAGACGGTAGAGGTTGAAGCTACTGAAACAGTGTTTAGAATGAAGGAATGGTGGTTGCTATGGAAGATCAAGTGATATTTAGTGTGTTATTGAGGTGAATAGGAGTGCTGAGAGCATTGGATGATCTGATCCAGCGGTCTCAGCATGAGTGAAAGGCGGCAGTTGGCATGGGGCTGTTGTCTAAATTAGGTTCTTGGCTTCTGAGGTTTTAAATCTTGGTGTTCATTTATACATGTATTTCATGCTTGTAGGTGTGGGTGACTTTCATTGTTCCTAAGTAATTGCCATTTCCTCCTTTCTTCCTCTCTGCAGACTTGGGCAGCTTGCCACTATGGCTGGTATAGATCAGTCCGATTTCCACCTGTTAGGTCGTCCTCAGATGAATTCTACTGTTAGTGCAGCTGTAGAAGACCAGAAAGCCCTCGAGGAAGAAAAGCTAGATCCAAAGCAGACTCCTGGGGGACAGATGCAGAATATTCAAGTAAGTGGACCCAACAGACCTTGGTTCAAGTCATTAGCAAGAGTTCCCCAGGGCAGAGAAAGGAATATTGGTCTGTCTCTAGCAGAGTTAAGTTTGTGCCCATTTCCTGAAATTGCATCTCTGTCAATAAAGAAATGGGGCCAGGCATGGTGGCGCATGCTTTTCATCCCAGCCCTCGGGAGTTAGGGACAGGCAGGTGCCTGTGAGTTTGAGGCCAGACTGGTCTACATAGTGAATTTCAGACTAGCCAAAGCTACATAATAAAATTTTATCTCAAAATTTAAAAAAAAGTACAAAACTGGAAGGTTTTTGATAATTTATACTTAGAGTAAGTTATCTTTAGTAAAGAAAAAAATCAAAGCGTAAAATAATAGGAAATTAAAGTTTTTTAAATGTCTGTTATATCCATGTCTCGTCTAGGTCTCTATCTGTATGCAGTCAGCTTACAATGAAGGGACACTGATGAAGGTACAGGTACCGGTGCAGAGAGCTCTAAACACAGTGATCTAGACAGACCTAGCAAGCAGTCTCTCATAGTTGCTCCGTTACTGGATGGGGTGGGCTGGCCATCACAGGGTCCCCTGGTATGTTTTCTCCTGCCTCACCAAGAGCCCCAGCAAGACTCATCTGAGGAGCTGCTGGCTTGAGAACTCGGTTATGTCACACATTGGATACTTCTCACATATACATAGAGGCTAGAAACTTGGTTTCCTAGAAGTGATTTTATTTTGTTTTTTAAATGTGGAAAATGAAAGGTAATGATATAAAACACAAAATTCTAAAGATACTGTACAACTAACTCTGTGGAGGGTGTGTGTGTGTGTAAATTTTGAGTTGCCAGTCACATGGCTAATTTGTATAATTAGGAAAATGAATGACCATAAAATCTTCTGAGTGGTGGGCTGACTGCTGAATAAGATCACAGTTACAGGACGAGAGAGATGACCTGGCTTACGAGAGCTATTCTCATCTCTAGGACTTGAGTAGGCTCGTCAGCACCCATGTTGGGTGGCTCCATAGCACCTGTAACTATAGCTCCATGGGAGCCTCTGCAGTCATGTACACGTCACACACATACAT